ATATATATATACATGGAGGGATAAGGGATTTCGTTGGCATTTCATGAAGCCGACAAAGTTATCCTTGAAAAAACAAAAAAAAACAAAAAAAAAACCTTGCTCCCCAATATATATATATATATATATACATGGAGGGATAAGGGATTTCGTTGGCATTTCATGAAGCCGACAAAGTTATCCTTGAAAAAACAAAAAAAAACAAAAAAAAAACCTTGCTCCCCACGCAAAAAGTCAACTTATTTTTTTAATTAGCATATCTTGTCAAAGAAACTGATTTTTAATAAGTCATTGGGTTAGTTCTTGGCACCGATATTTATCATCTTCATATCTAACGGACACGATTTACCAGCATTTGGTCGCTGCATTTTGTTTTATGAATATCAAATGAGTCAATGTAGTGGCTAGCTAGGCAGAAACTTTTCTCATCATTTTAAGCGGGAAAAAAAAAGAAAAAACAAAGGATCGAATGATTCTTGTTGATAGAAATGCAAACGAAGATTAATTTTTTTTTTCCTGTTATCATTGTTATTTTATGTTGATGACAGTGGTATTTAGATGGTAATTAACAATGAACAAATAAAAACGCATGTCACGACTTTTAAAAAAAAAAAATTTCCGTTGTTGTACTAGACTTACCAGCATTTAGTCGCTGCATTTTGTTTTATGAATATCAAACGAGTCAATGTAGTAGCTAGCTAGGCAGAAGAAAAAAAAAAAAGAAAAAACGAAGGATCGAATGATTCTTGTTGATAGAAATGCAAATGAAGATGAAATTATTATTATTTTTTTTGTTATCATTGTTAATTTACGTTGATGACAATGATATTTAGATGGTAATTAACAATAAACAAATAAAAACGCATGTCACGACTTTTTTTTAAAAAAAAAATTTCCGTTGTTGTACTAGACATATGAAACTTTGAGTGGGTCTGATTAATCACAAATGCAAATAAAATGCACTAATCCATCGTGTTGTGTTGGATTTGAAGTGATATAGAGAGAGCAATACAAAAGTCTCATTTAGTTCGTTGATTCGAATTTTTAATTCGAGTTGAAATGTGACTTTATGTGAGAGCTTTTTACTGTAACAAAAAAATTAAACGTGACTGTTTTTAAAAATTTTTTACTGTAAAAAAATTTAAATTCTAAAATCGAATCAATAAAATAAACGAGACAAAATTAAAAAGAGAAAAAAATAAAAAAGAAAAAAAATAGTGGTTTCTCAAATCAGTGCCTGAATTTTGTTACCCATAAAGTAATTTCTCAAATAGCTTTTTAGTCCCGGATAAGTGTGGTTTAAAGTAGATGCGAGATTCCAGCTCACTTGCACCCCACGCAAATTTTGTCAACTTCTTTCCACACCTTTCATTGCCAATAATTTCCCGTGGGGCCAAAACTAGAGGAGCGGGTCTCGTTCACTTCACGGATTTAAGTTTTTAATTTGAATTGAGATGTGACATTTTCAGAGAGCTTTTCACTGTAGCAGAAAAAGTTAGATGTGACATTTTTTAAGAATTTTTTACTGTAAAAACTTAAAACTGAAAACTCGAATCGGTAAAATGAACGAGACTCGTATATTTGAATTATGATCTCATAAAAAATTTATATTTAAAAATTTCATCTCATAAAATTATGATCAATGAATTAGAATTACTGAATATATTCAGACCTTAAGTTTATGTTGCGTTCAAATAAATAAATCTAAAAATAGATAGTTTATTGAGTGCCTCAGAAGATATTAACCTACACTTGATTTCATTTTTGCGTTCAAATAAATACATCTAATGATGAACAGTTCACTAATTGCCTCAAAATCTATAAATACACATGATAAATGATTCGACATGATTTATAACTCCTTTCATTAATAGACTATTGTAGTTGGTACGGTAATGGTAATGACTATGTCAAATCTTTTTTTTTTATTTAGTTTTTTAATAAATGGTAGCGAATAAAATTAATCCTTGAAGAGGAGTAACTAGATTTATTATTAATTGAAGTAAACATTATATGATCTCATTTATATTTGATCGAATAACGACGTTTCAATAGAAATGCATAAAAAAAAATTGGTTTGCGTCATGTACATCACTTTCAATTGTAATTGCTTCCTTATTTATTCAAATCTTCTTCACATAAATATGTGCAAGTTTCAATTCTTGTTTTGCATGAAGTTTAGTCGTAGGAAAACCTTATTTAAAAAAAAAAAAAAAAATCCCAACAAAGACCAAAGTGGTTTCTCATTTACACCACACATAATTTGGTTTTTAGGAGACCATTCAACAATAAAACCAAAAAAAAAAAAAAAACCGTATTTCTTACACTAAGAAGTAAGAACAAGTCAAAATGCATATCTTTTTGGTACACGGCACTTAATGTAATTGGATTGTGACCCCATTGACCATTTCCATATCGGTAATAATTTATCTTCTCTAAGAGACAAAAACAAAAGAATAAAATCTTAAAGCCTCGTATTCTTTACAGGCTCTACAACAACCTTGTGCATAAAATCCTTATATTAATACCAAATGTTAGATAAATAGAAAAGCCTTGTTTGTCATGTCATCTTAAAAGCAAAAGAAAGTAAAAAAAAAAAAAAAAATGTATTAGTTGTTGACTGGAAATTGGCGAGGAAAATTTGATAGAGAATTTGGATTATGCTTGTAGTTGATAAGCAAGAATTAACTGAAATCTTATTTATTTTATCATTTGAATTTAGAATTTAAGTTTTGTTATAGTAAAATTTTTTTAAAAATAATTATATTTAACTTTTTTATTACAGTAAAAAATTCTCACATAAAATTATATTTTAACTCAAATTAAAAATTTAAATTAACGAACTAAACGGACTAAGACATAGATATCTTATTCAAGATACCGAGTTTGAAAACGAATGGTTGCGTACTAAGACCATCTTTGTGATCAAGAACCTATGCTAGCATTATATAGCAATTAATATTAAGTAGAATAATCTAGAGCCAATTGGATTCAGACATATATGCTAAACCAAATAATAACAAAGCAATATTAGACAATTTTCCAGCTTCTGGATTATTTAGGATGGAGTGTTTCCAGTCCCACGATCCTGGTTGGTCCTAATGCAGCCTCCAACATTAAAAAAAAAAAAAAAAAGGTTCCTCGGAAACATACCAAGAGAGTGTTTTTATCACCTAGTTTTTAGTTTTACCTCTTGAATCATAGTAGTGCAAAACCACAGGGAAAAAAAATACCACAACTCAGAAAGTTGAGACATCAATAAGTACTTCAAAGATTTTGAGAACCCATATTTGGGAAAAGGTGATTAACCAATTATAAGGAAGGGAAAAAGCTCAAAATTAACATTCAGATAGATTGTAGCCCTGAAAAAAGATACCCAGAATAGAAAACACAACAGAGCACTTGCTTTGCCCAATTTCACGACTTTTGTCAATTGGCCAACACAGATCTTCAACTTGTCATCGCAACCCATCAGCCTAAATCTTCAGTATAAGAAAGAAATCCACCTTTGCTACTCAAAACTTACACACACAAAAAAAAATACAAAAGAAAAAAGAAAGTAAAATTAGCTAAAAATACGGATAATACCAAAAGTCACCACCAGCCATAAACGACTTGGGTGTATTTATCCTTGAGCCACCGAAAGCTTTTCCTGAAAGAACCCTTCACTTTTCCCTCAACGGAGTACATTTTGTAGCTGGCCACCCTCTTCTTCCTCTGAAACTCTGGGTCTCCGAAGCTCCATGGCTTTGAAGAAGAAGACCCAGAAGCGTTTTTCCCTTTCTTCATCTTCAAGTCTCTGATATTGTTGTTGTTGATGTCGTTTCCCATCTGGGTTTGAGTATGCGACGTGCTGAAGCTTCTGGGCGGTCCGTAGTAGTTGTCAATCTGCATCATCCCACTTCCGTACGACCTTGATCTGTTGCAGTCTTCCATGGGATTTTGGATTTTGGGCAGAAAGATTTTATTTTGATTTTGATTTTGCTTCTGTTCTGTTGTGGTTTAACTGTTCTTCTCCTGGGTGTCTGACAGACAGACCAGGAAGGGAATGATTATAGAAGTTTTAATGGGGTCCAATATTGTTTTATAACGAAAATTGCTCTGGCTTTTTTTTTTTTAATAAGCAAATAGCTCTGGTTGGTTGGATGGATTTCATTTTGGATTTTTTTTTGTTTTTCGTTTTTTTTTTTAATTTAATAAAGACTATTGTACTATTGGGGCTCGACTTTTAAAATGATGATCTTTGATCAGATTCAGATGGCGTGTTTAACGGGGAATCATGTTGTCTTTGGCCCTGCGTGTCTTTTCTAAAAACAAATGTTATTCTAAATTTCATTTGACTGTCGTGAGCCCATAATGTGTCCGTTATCAAAATAGAAATAGAAAACTAGGAATGCGTGACAAATTAGGACAGTTTACTTCGTTTATTTAAATTTTTAATTTGAATTGAAATGTAATTTTATTTAAATTTTTTTTATTGTAATAAAAAAATTAAATGTGATTATTTTTGAGAATTTTTTACTGTAACAAAACTCAAATCGGTGAAATGAACGAAGTAAACTTTTGGGTTGTTAACATTGTTTGTCTCTAAATTTTAAGTATAATGACATTTTAATTCCTTATATGTCACTTGACTTACTACCAATTATCCTAAATTTTAAGGGAAATTATTTGACCGGGAATGAAATTATCATAAGATACATTTTTTAACTATTAATAATTTTATTTTTTTGGTGATATTCGCGTTAATACTTTATAATTAAAATCACATTAGTACAAAAACATATGTTAAAACGGTAGCTGTTGATACATATATGGTGATTTGAAATAGAATCTTAAAATTTAGCAGGAAAATGTTCCATTAACAAATTACTTCAGTGAAAAAAAATATTTTTTTCTTTTTCAATTTGGAGATACAGATATTTAAATCGACTTTTTTTCATTGTTCATATAATAGAATTTGCAAGTAAATATTCTCTGCATATGAATATGATCAGATGGCTGAATCCGAATGAACCATTTCTCAAAGCGTTGATAATCCACTACTATTACTTTATTAACCATAAACTTTTTCACTTTTCTTGCTCACTTTTGCTAGCATTAAACTTCTCATTTTCCTCTTTATTGGTTTAAGGAGCCAGTGCTTTAAATAATTCTGTTTAAACGAAATGAAAAGCTAAAATTAGAATCTAATTCCTATCGGGATTGCCATCTCTCACTTGGAGCCGTTGACATTAGAAAGTTAAATCCTTAGTAAATACAACCAAATATTTTTTTAAGGATTTATGATTTGCTCTTGATAGAGATTGTATTCTCACATGTAAACAGAAAATTAAAAATAAATAAATAAGAACTCTTCATGTCTCTCTGACCGGCTTTTCTAAAGCTATACAATGCTTATGGAACAACAACCATGGTTTTTAAATGGGAGAAAGAGAAAAATAGACTAAGATTTGATATCAATTAAAATTAATAGGTTAATAATTTACAAAAATTAATAAATACGTTAAATTATTGTTTTCGTTCATAACTTATCTGGTTATGAACCATAACTTGACAAGTTATTCACGGTTTTTGTCCATAACTTGCCTGACTATGAACCATAACTTAACAAGTTTGTCCATAACTTATCTGATTATGAACCATAACTTAACAAGTTAGGGTCTATTAATTTTTATAACTAAAAATTGACCTATATACTTTCTTAAACTTTTCATATTGACCTATATTCTACTATTTCTCTTTTTAAATGTGAACCTTCTTTACGTTATAAGAACTAACCATTCTTTCTATATCCTCATTAAAATTCTCATTATAGTTACTTTGCTACAGTTGTAGACTTGTACAGTTTAACGTAATTTTTTTTT